CCTTCCGAGGAGTGGCTGGTGGGTTTGAACCGCCAGCCTTCTGGTTAGCAGTCAAGTGCTTTAGCCACTATGCTACCAGAGCTCCTACTTTGTCCAATAGGGTTGTGAGGTCAGAACTAACTAGATGGCAGTGAGTTTTTGGTTTGAGCTTCCCACCATGATGACAAGGATATGAGGGTGGGACACAGCTATTTTGTTCTCTGTTGTATCCCAGCACTTAGTACTATTTCTGGCCCAAAATTGCCAGTCAATAATATTTATTAATGAATTCACTAATTGGCTGATTGGATCTCAAACAAATCACAATCATCTGTACAGGATGGGAAACTGTTGATTATTTTGGAAGACTGGGTAAGGGAGAATGAGATAAATAATAAGCAATGAACTCAACTCCAGTTTGAGGCAAGGACATTACTTTCATAATAAATATCATCATACTGAAACTCAAGCAGACCCTTCAATTAGGCACAAAACCTCATATGTCACGAAGAAAAGTTCAAAACCAGATGCATTTCAGGGAAGAAAATGAATTTCCTGCAAACTACACAATTTTCTTCGGTACAATCTCAATGCCAACAGCCACAGGACTCTGGCATGTTTCCATACTAGGAAAGTCAGGGCGCTTGTGGCAACAAAGACCCACAGGATGATTAGAAGGTGGGATCTGGGTGCTCACACCACCCTGAGGGTTTGAGACGAGCCCCTGCAGTGGGCCCACAGGCCTGGCAGCTGGCAGCTATGAACACCACTCTAGGTCTAGAAGACAGGGTTCCTGACAGCTTGGGAGGGAGGGAGACCCATCTTGTTTAGAGTCAGCTTCGGCCTGAGACATGTGTGGAAGAGGCGGTTCCCCTGTAAGTGTCCAAAGGGCCAGGTGAAGGGAGGTACGGCCTCTTGCCTGGCGTCTGGAGGGTTGTGGGTCTGCCCCAGGACAGCGCCCCTGTCTGCTCAGTGGGGTGACTGCTCTGTGAGCCTGTTCAAAATCTCCTGACTGCTGTGCTTACCTTCTTTATGAACTCTGGGATGATTTTCTGGTCTGTCAAGTGGTTTAAAGAAGAACAGCAATCTAATTCCAAGATGTAGCCTTCATTGTGAAGATCATTTTTCTGAGATCTGAAGAAAAAGAGAACACACACACATACACAAAGACTAAGATTTTTACCCCATATATATATGTGTGTGTGTGTGTGTGTATGTATATATATATATACACACACACACACACACATATATATATATATTTAGTGTAAAAATTTTGCCCTGAAAGGTAATTACCAAAAGGCACTAACTGCTACAAAATAAAATTATTTATGGTAAACAACTGAAACAACATATAGAAAAACCTCCAAGGTATCATCTAGGAAAACTCATCTTATAAAATGATGAGATTAGTATGATATGGTTTATATGTTAATCAACACACATACACTTCAGAAGTGCTTATTTCCCATTTGTTTATATCTGCCAATGAATAGAAAAAGAACTAGTAAAATATACACCAAACTAACAACAGGCAGTTACCTCTTGGGGGTAGGAAGGTGTTTGTGGGAACTGGGATGGGATCAAGGTGGTCAAAAAGTGACTTTAGCTATGTCTCTAATTTTTTTATTTTTATTTTTTACTGAAGAGAGCATATTCATATATCACTTAGAATATTAAAAGTTCATTATTAAAAGACTTAAAAAGGGTTCAACCTATACAGAGGACAAACTGGTAAAATCTATCAAAATTAAAGATATATTGAAGAAAGACTATAAGACAACTAAAAGTAGAAATTCTGGGAAAACAGAGGAAATGTAAAGGGTTGTTTCAGGCAAGTCCCTTTGGTCTTCTACTCAATGTCAAGGCTTTGTAGCACACACTTGCTGTCTCTCCACACATTTGGTGGAGGACTGCTTCCCTCTTTCCCACATATATGCATATGCACACATCATGCAACACACAATACAAAATTGCACACACTCCAGGAGAATCAGCAGCAAGGGGTCACCAGAAGGGAATTCTACCACTTCAAAGCCATTCATTGAGGGGCTCCTGCATGACACTGACGTGGGTCTAGGAAATTCCTGAGAGCCATGTGGTGGTCAGAAATTGAAGGTGATTCCTTGGTCCAGCCAGATGGAAGGCAACAGGAGGTGAGACTGCAGCTAAGGGTCAACGGCATGTGCTCTCTCTTCTGGCCAACTGACCGTGGGGGGCAGGAGTTAGGGCTCTGGGCTCTTTGTCAAGTGTACATACCATATACGCAGCTGTTCTCCACTGGCTGAGGAATGATGAGGCTTATAAGTCTACTCTACCACAGAGGGCACCCTGGCAGCCTCTCTCAGCATAGGTCTGCCCAGAAAATTCTCAATGCAGGCACTTTCCCACTGAATTCTTGAGATACATGTATCCCATCAAATAAACAGTTTCTGAATGCTTATTTGCTATAATAATTTTAAATTTTAAGGTTCTTATATATCATTAGAAACAATTTATGCTACCACTAACCATCTGGGTATGATTTGTATGAAATTTAAACATGAAAAAATTAAAGAAGATTTGGATATCTCCAGGTGTGTAACTGTGATTAAGTAAGTAAACTTTGACAGCTAGCTTACTTTGATTAATTTTCCCCCTGTCACATATCCTTTCAGGACCCCTGGTGGCACAGTGGCTAAGCACTCAGCTGCTAACGGAAAGATCAGCAGTTTGAACCCATCAGCTGCTCGAAGGGAGAAAGATGAGGCAGTCTGCTTCTGTAAAGATTTACACCCTTCGAAACTCTGTGAGGCAGTTCTACTGTGCTCTGCAGGGTCACTACGAGTCAAAATTGACTCAATGGCAATAGGTTTTTTGGTTTAATGCTTCCTTTTGGGGGTAGGGTATTAATGCACATACTTTTGAAATGCAGAGGAATAAATCAATTCCAAATGGGCCAGACCGGAATAAACCAATTCCAAACCTTAGCCTCTTGGGCTTACTATTTGGTCAGAGACTTGACTCTTATTCTCATTTTTGCCCTAAACAAAGGATGTAAGAAGAGCCACTAAAGCAGATGAGCCCAGTCGTTTGAAAGAAAAGCTTGGTCAAGCATCCTGTCGTATGCACCTGTGTGGGATCTCAAACATCAAGGTTGGGATGGAGGGCAGGGTTCTAAGATGTAAAATCCCAGCTGCTTTGTCACACAGAGATTAATATCAGGCTACACAGGGTTATCTATAAATACCTTTTGAGATTTTTAATGATGAGGTTGAAAAATAATAATCATTTTTAAACAAGTGAGCACTACACCCATTCAGTAAAATGTCCATAAAGTGAATAGAGGGAAGATGGGTCTGTCTTTAAGCAACTCGCAGCCCAGACTCATAAGGAATAATCTTTAGAACGGGATACACTAACTACAGTCCTTGGTTCTAGAATGAGATGTTCTCTAAGAAGAAAGGCAGCCCTTGTTGTTTTTAAGGATCAAATAATTAACCCAGTTACATATGAACTGAAAGGAGCACAAGGGATTAACGAAAATAGGCATTATTACAAATTTTCTAGATGACCCATGAAAACTCACATCTCAGCCCACAGTTTCTTGGAAAAGCAACCTAATGCCACTGGGGTGGGCGGGGGGGAGATATATAAGTAACTAAGAGCCCTTCCTTTTCCTTTAGGAATTAACTCCACAATGTGGAATGAAAGGATTATAGCACTGAAGGTTGGTTGAAGAGGAGAAGGTGATGAGAAAGCAGCCTGTGCCCTCTGAGGACAAATGCTGCTGCCTGAGCCCTAGGGTCAGCAGTGAGTGAGGGAGAGCTGTGGGCCTGGTAGGGGCCAAAGCTAAATGGAGGCCACAGTCACAGAAAAATGCCTTCCCTGCCCTGGTTCTATGAAAAACAGCACCAAACCCATTAGCAAAGCCTATAAGGTGGCAAGAGGAGATTTCAACACTGGGTGGTTAGTAAACATGGTTGCTGTAGCAAACACACCCTAGGGTGACCGCAAGGATCTCTATCTCCTAGTGTTCACACTGCTTTGCAATCCCTCCCTTTGAATGCAAATGGGACCCATGACTTGCTTTTAACCAGTACAATGTGGCAATAGTGATGGGATGTCACTCCCGTGATTGTTATAAGACTCCATCTTAGCAGACTGGAGCTAGAAACTCCCCTTGCTGGCCTGAAGAAAGTAAGCCACCATGTTGTGAGGGGTCTATGGAGAGGGGCACATGGCAGGGAATTACAGGTGGCCTTAGGAACTAAGAGCAGCCGATGACTGATAGCCAGCAAGAGAAGAGGGACCTCAGTCCTACCACTGTAAGGAGATGAACTCTGTCACAATGAGGGAGCATGAAAGTGGGTCTTTCCCTAATCAAACTTCTGATGAGAGAGCAGCCCTGGTCAACACCTGTATTGCAGCCTGATGAGACCCTGAAGCACAGACTCCCAGATCAGCTACAGCAAATGTGAGATAATAAGTATATGTTCGGTTAAGCTGCTAAGTCTGTGGTAATTTGTTATACGGTATAGGAAAACCAATACAGTTACTGAGAGCTTCATTTTCAGATCAGGCCTGTCATGAGTGACTAGGCACAGGCCCGGATACAAGAATACCATCAGCCACTTGAGAGCAAGCCTCAGTCAGGAGATGAATATTCCCTGAGAGCAAGCCTCAGTCAGGAGATGAATATTCCCTGTCTCTGAGGGCAGGGACCACCCTGGGAGAGTGGACATTTCCTAGAAGTGGGCTCCAGGGGCCATGACCTAGACCTCCAAAGGACCACAATACAAGGGAATGGATATTCTACAACCTGTTCCTTTGTAGTCAATCAAATTTCTAAGGAAGAAGCATTAAACTGACACTCTTGGCTAAGCAGGCATTTGCCACCTCTTCTGTGGGGGAGGGGAATGCCAGTTATATTTCCCAAAGGCCATGTCCTGGAAAATCATCCTGGAAAAGTCTGGGAAATCACCAAACTACTCCTGGAAGGAAGCCTGGGTGATTCCCATTCCTTGAAAGGATAGAGCTACTGGGGCTTAAGCAATTAAAACAAAGAGGGACACACAATGCATTTCTGCAGACACAGGATCAACTACTAGAAAAAGTACCCCAGAATACATTATCTGAAAATTAACATCAAAGACTCTCCACATAAAGGCTTTCTGAGAACAGCATTTCTAAGAATGAAATACGCTTCCCCATCACCTTTCACCCCTCACTCCATAAGTACGCTAGATTTACTGGTTAAAGTTTACAGGTTTTAGAGTTAACTAGAGGTGGGTCACTTACAAGTTCTGTGCCTTTTGGTAATTTATTTATACTTTCTGTGCCTCAAATTTCTTTCACTGTGATATGGGAATATTACTAGCTATTATCTCTGAGCATCATTGTAAGGATTAAATATGACAAAAGCATGAAAAGCTCTTAGGACAGGGCCTAGGCCTTTAGGTCAGGCTCAACAAATATTAGCTGCCACTGATCTATTATTACTACTAAATGAAATCTTTACTTTCCCTTTCTAGCACTTTTCACAGTTCATAGTTACTTAGTCATTCAATAAGTACTGACCATGTTACTACTCTGTGCCAGACCCTATCCTTTGGCATACATTAATAAAACAAGAGAGACAAAATCTCTGCCTCCACAAAGCTTACAGTCTAGTGGAGGGAGATAGGCAATAAACAATAAACATAGTAACCGAGCACATAGTATAGTAGGAACTCTGGTAGTATAGTGCCTAAGGCACTTGACTGCTAACCAGAAGGCTGGTGGACCAGCTACTCCTCGGAAGGAAGGTTGGGCAATCTACTTCCATAGTGAAACCACCTCAGAACCCCAAGGAGGGGTTGCTATGAGTCAGGTCCAACTCAACGGCACATAACAACAACAAAAACAACAACAACAACACAGTGTAGTATGTTCATTACATGGGAACCTAATTTACTGTGTAAACTTTCACCAAAAACACAATAAAATATTTTATACACACATATATACATGTATATATGTATATACGAGTATATATATATATATAATTGAACATTATGTATCTATTTAAAAAAAAACAAACTCACTGCCGTTGAGTGGGATTTGACTCATAGTGACCCCTCGTTGAGTTTCCGAGGCAGTATCACTACAGAAGT